TGCCCCTATCTTTCATCAGACTGGAGAAAATCAGCAATTACCAATGCCAGTATGTAGTTAGTGAAATTATACTAGTAACTCTTAACTCTGAGAAAAGAATAACTAGAAGATTTGTATAGAAAATACATATTTAAAGAAGTTATGGACTTGAGACTCAATTAACCAAGACAGAATTCTAAATATCAGTTACAAAGAATATTTATTTCCTGTGCATGAGCTTACATGTTACTAGGGGGTATTACTTATTCATAACAGCTATAGGTTACCTTTTCCCCCTGAACTCAGGAATATATCTTAAAATAAATAAAAGATGTAAAATAATACCTAACATTACACTGTACGCCTAAGTTACCTAAAATGTCATGGTCCAGGTTTTAGATTAGTGTTGATTGTATCCTTTCTGTTCCTTTGTAATATGGATTCTTTCAAAGAGTGCCTCAGTTCTTCCAGGACTATTATGTTTTCTTCTGACTCTGAACTTTGCATATTAAATTCCCTCAGCCTGAAAACCCTATTTTCATGACTATCCTAAGATTCAGTCCATGAATCCCCTTGTCCAGTGGGAAAGTTGATATTTTAAGCAAAACTTTGAATAAAGTTGGGTGTTACGCATTTCTGTATCCCCAGTAGTATTGTGCTTGAGAAAGATATTTTTACTTATTATATATATTTGGGGCTAATTCAATCTAAAAAGTCAATGAGGAATAAAAGATAAACAAGAGAGCCATTTTATAGCAATTATGACCAAATAGAAGAGATAAAAAGCCAACCTGAATTAGTTCATGGGAAAAAAATTAGAAGTATGTGCTTTTTTTTTTTTTTCTCATGACTGAAAAATTCAGGTAAATATTTAACATTATTCTCTACTTGGATTTGGTTTATGGTTCACTATATCCACATGATGAGAGAGACATCTGCCAGTCCCACCCCTTCCAAGCAGATTCAGGTTTACAGGTAATAAAATTTGTGAGAGAGACACTCTCCTGCATATATAAGGATCTCAGAAAAAAAGACTGGCCCTCCTTATATATCTCACCCTGGACCAATCATTTTTCACAAGGCAGAATTATTTTAAATGGCCACTCTAGGTAAATGCCTGTTTTTTGGTGAAGTAGTGGATCCCCACTTTCATCCCCATTAGAAAAAGATTTAGGTGGGGAAAGGTATATAGTTCTAGAAATGATGAAATTGAGGTCAGACAGAAAATACTGTATTTCCACTCTGTAAGCAGTCTTTTGAGTAAGATCACCTAAATTTAAATTAGGCCTATAGCCATTATATATGGGAAACTTTGCTTAGGCCCATTGTGCCTCAGTTTTCTTTTCATAAAATGGATTAAGAATGGAACTCAGAAATAATACTTACCTTCAAATGATGAGAATAAGGAATATCTAGGATAATGCACCTAAAATGCTCAGCATAATAGCTCACAAATAATAATCACTCAAAATATTGGCTATGACAATAATTTTTAATCTTCTGCATATCAGTCTGGTCTTATGATGCTTGAATATTTTTTTTAATGAGGCATTAATTTATGGGGGGTTTTAAATAGTGGTTCATAGTGTTCTGGGCTGAATGTTCTCTGGGAAAACCTAGGAAGGGGCAGAAGGGAGAGAATTATATCTCATCTGTAATTCTAGCTCAACTTTTATGAGCTTTACATGGTGTGTATCAAAGAAAGATTTCATTTGGAAACAGAATTCCACAGCTAATGTTGTAACCTAATGCTGCTCTAAGAGATCATCTTTAGAGGTGTAAGTGAATCACAAATGGTACACCTAAAATAAAGCAGAAGATATAGCTAGTGTGCAGAGCTTGTTACAAGAGGGCTGACAAAGAGTATAGGTGAGTAATGGCATGCATCATACTGCTGTTGCGCGAAAGCAATTTATAGTCTCCACTCTACTGAGCCTATTTCAGCATGGTCACTGTTACAGAGAGAAGACAACATTGTTACAGTATAATGCTGTTAACCATATTAGATATCATATGTTTAAAGAATCAATGATGCCTATCTTCTTTTTCACTGCAAAAACGTCTTATTTCTTTCACAAGTGTAATCAGACCAATGACAGATAATATAGCTATTTATGAACTGTGGACAAAAATGGAAGCATAAAGCACAATCATATTAGAATTCCAGCTGTGCTTATCTCATTATCTCAGTCAGAGCTGAAGAGATTTTAAGATGTTTATGTACAAAGAATGTTAACTGTTTTCAAAAGATCATTTTTAAGTATTTCAAAATGGGGACTTAATAGTGTGCGTGTGTGTAGAATACAGGTACAATTCTGGGAAAAGCCTCAGTACTTTCCCAAACATTTTCATGAATATCTCTAATCATTTTTTTTTTTTCTTTTGGTTTCTCAATTGCTGAATTTTTTTTTTTAAATCTACCTTTTCTGATTATCTTCTAGAAAGTAATGGGTAAAATTTGCCAGAAAAAAAAAAAAAACACGTGGCTTCTGAAAGTGTCAAATCCTAAAAAGGATAACACTGAAAATACTCAGGAAACTTAGAAAATAGTTATTTGTTTTTTTGATTACAGGTATCTGAATAGCTTTATTTCCACTGAGTTTATTTGCTACTTTTGGATTTGGGGTTTGCTTGTTTTGTTTTTATCAAGCCTAGCTCTCAATTGGCCACGTTCCTTGTAATTTTAGTTTGTCATCTTTAAAAACCTACAGAGAACAAAATAAGACCCTTTTGAAAGAACTTACTTAGTTAAAGGAGAGGGTGAGGTCAAACACAGAAATAGCAAAATTCATATTTCCTCCTGCCCTCCCAAGATAGGGCAGACTTTTTTTTTTTTTTTTTTAATTGAGGAAATACGGTAGATCTCCTAAAAGAACATGAAAATAGCTAAGTAAATTGTGGAATATATGACCCAAATGATCACATGCTAAAATTATAAACCATAAGTTTTATGAAATTTCTATTACTACATATGGGTGCTTTGACACTGTCTCTACCAGTATGAGTCGTGGCACAACTGTGTGTATTTCATATGCAAAAAAAAAGACATCTATGCCAACAAAGAAAAACCGATAATTATAATCAGTGCAAAATTATTTAAATATGTTGAAATATCCATATTTTAAAAGTAGCCTTAAAAAAGCCCGGTGAAAATTTGAGGGAGATATGAGAGACATTAAACTCCAAAGGTGGTCTTGATACAAGATTAAAGTCCTAGTATTTCGGGCAAATAGAACAGAAGAAATATAGTCATATGTCCTCTGTTGTACTTGATATATCATCAATGGAAGTGATGTGAGCCCAACCTTGAGATAACCACGTTAGAATTAACAGATAAGGATTTTAAAGGAGCTATTGTAATTATGCTGAAGAATGTAAAGAAAGATACAGATTATAGTTAAGTTATGGTTAAAGGACTAGCCAGAAAATGCCTGGAGAAGCTAAAGAACAGGATTTGGGGCATAGATGACATCCTGCAAGGTGTGGACTGATGGGCAACTCTTGTTGTACTAACATGGAGTGATACCTTATTGTGCTAATTAGTGAAGTAAAAATGACCTAATATGCACTTAAATAGGCATTGATTTTTTACCCTTTAAACCCTATACATCACCTATTCCACTCCCTAAAAGTTATGTGAACACATTTTACTTAACTAGATGGCAATTCTATAATGCAAAAACTGTATTAATCCTAATGTGAAACATGATGCCAATAATGTTTTCTCTACCATGGTCCTCACTTCCTCTGAGTCTTCACCAGCAGAATGGTTAACATTCTTATTTCTACTCATCTGTTCAAGGCTATCTAAGCCTTGTTCCCTAATATCATAGCCTCTGCCCACTGCCCAACTTCAAAGCCACCTCCACATTTGCAGGTATTTGGTATAGCAGCATCCCACTTTGAAGCTCTGAAATCTGCAGTGGTTTCCTATGGCTGCTGTAGTAAGTTCCAAAAATTTAGTGGGTTAAAGAACACTAATTATTTTACAGATTTTAGGTCACAAGTCCAAAATAGGTCTCACTGAGCTAAAATCAAGAGCTGCATTCTTTACAGGACGTTCTACAGGAAATTCCATTTTCTTCTCTTTTTCAGCTTCTAGTAATTACACACATTGCCTGCTCATAGACCCCTCGCATTTTCAAAGCCAGCACTATATGGTTGAGCCTTTCTTACACTGCATCACTCTGGGTCTTCTGCCTCCCTCTTCCACATCTAAGGACCATTGCGATTACACTGGGTCCACCTGGATAATCCAGTATAATCTCCCTAATTTAACATCAGCTGCTTAGCAACCTTAATTGCATCTGCTACCTTAATTCTCCTTTGCCATGTAACAGAACATATTTACAGGTTCCACATATTAGGAGATGAACATTTTGGGGTGGCCATTATTTTGTCTACCATTCAGGCCAATATGGTGGACAAAATAATGCAAAAAATCTCAAATATGCTACAAATTTATAAATATGTTATCATCACCCTTATCAACTTTCTAGAAAACACTGAGTATTTAGCATATATTAAATCTCACTCTAAAAACTATCCATCTGTAAATCACATGTTATAAGTGGTGTGTCTTAGATGCAAAAGCAGGCAATTAGGCTCCTTGTTCTTAATTACAATGTTATACTGTCTTATTATGCCCCGTATTCACACACACATACATACATACATATGCATACACACATTTTATAAACTATGTGATAAAAATATTCATATAAATATGACTTAGTTTCCTTTACTCCAGAAACATATGGAAAGTGTTATAGGCTGAATTGTACCCCTTCAAAATTCATATGTTGTAGTCCTAACTGGGTATGCCCTGATCTGGTCAATTAAAGTCCATAATACTCTTTCAAGGAAGAGGGAATTTGCCAGCAGACTGCCTTTGGATTTTGGAACTGCAACATCAGCTCTTCCCTAGGTCTCCAGTTTTGCCAGCCTCCACAGTCAGATAAGCCAATTCCTTAAAAAGCTCTCTAGACAGATAGATAGATGTTATATATGTAGATATTTACCTTTCTCTCCTTCGGCTTCTTAGGAGAACGCTAATACAGAAAGTATAACAGATTAAAGGGAAAAAATATGTAAAACATGTCAATAAGAATAAATATGTGATAAAAGCATCTACTCATTATAAAATGTCTTTGTATATTAGGAATAGAAGTTAGCTTGTATGCCTCAAATGATACAGTTAAAAGTATAAGGGAAATTTATAACCTAGGACAAAGAAATCATAACACTTCTAATTGACACAGGAATAATATCCAGAATATATAATTTCTGTAAAAAATGTTTTAAAGTTCGAATTAATATAAAGTGGTCAGGAGATACGAAGATGCATTTAATAGAAGAAATAAATATAGCCCCAAAACATTAGAAACAATGTTCTATCTCATGATAACCAGTGGAGTAGAAAACCACAGTGAGATATTATTTTATAATCTACCAGATGGATAAAAATGAAGGCATCTGATAATATAGAAAGATTTGAAGAACATAGTACTTAAGAAACCTTTGGGTACTGCTGGTGTTAACTGAAATTGATACAAGAACTTTGGAAGACAATTTACCTTTTTTGTTTGAGATTTATATATCCTCTGAGACATCAGTTCCATTTTGAGGTATATAATTAGCAACATTTTGCACATGCATGCCTGCAAACATGTATAAATATATACAGATGATCATTTAACATTTTACTATCTTTTTTTTGACGGTAAAACACTGAACAGAATCCCACTGTACACTGACAAATGAATATACAAATACATTGTGGTATAATGGAATCCTACAGTTGCCTTTAAGAGCGTGGATGAATATTAGAGTAACTGTTGAACATAAATTATGAGGCCCAGAAAATTACATGTAGCAAATTGTAAGAATATAAAAAAAATAAAAACTTAATATATTATCTAAGGATATTACATTTTTCATGAAAGCATAACCAAAAAGATAGGAACAATAAACACAAAATCAGAATTTCTAACAAAAATTTCTAAGCGTGGATTCTCTGTCATACAATAAAAGTTCTTCATTGTTCCACCTAAAGATTTTAATAACAAATTTATAATTAATATTTCATGTAGTATTAGAATAACCTATAGTTGATTTAAGTTTTCATAATGTTCTTAGTATATTATTAAAAGCCAAATTAATATTGTATAATACTGACTCAGTTAAAACTGAAATTGGTTAATAACAATTCAAAGTATTTAGATTCTGTGAATACAGTATTTAGAATTATAATTATAAAAAGTTTATGAGGAATAAGTTTACTGTTTTAAAATAAACAGTGATTAAGATACAGTAAGCCACTTCGGGTAGAAAGATTAAAGGGCTCTGTAGTGAAAATCATGAATAGCTATTAGATATTTTTGAGAGTTTTCTTTTTCTTTTTTTTAAAGATTTTATTTATCTATTTGACAGAGAGAGACACAGCGAGAGAGGGAACACAAGCAGGGGGAGTGGGAGAGGCAGAGCAGGCTTCCCACAGAGAGCCCGATGCAGAGTTCGATCCCAGGACCCCGGGATCATGACCTAAGCCGAAGGCAGACACTTAACGACTGAGCCACCCAGGCGCCCCGAGAGTTTTCTTTTTAAAAGAGAAAAAAATATATACATTATTGCGAGAAAAAAGGGTATATATTTTTTGGAGTTTACAAAACCATGTACTGAACTTAACATTTTTTTTTTTTTAAGATTTTATTTATTTATTTGACAGAGAGAGCACAAGCAGGGTGAGTGGCAGGCAGAGGCAGAGGGAGAAGCAGGCTCCCCGCCGAGCAGGGGGAGCCCGATGCGGGACTCGATCCCAGGACCCTGGGATCATGACCTGAGCCGAAGGCAGTCGCTTAACCAACTGAGCCACCCAGGCGCCCGAACTTAACATATTTTAAACAATATTGAAGAGAATAAGTTCCTATAAAATATCTTATACAAAAAACATGGGTACAAAACTGATAACATAGACTGATTTGAACAGTTTTGTTGAAACATGTATTTTGTACAATAGAGTATATTATAGGATGTAGAAAATTATTAAGGTATTTTGCTTACCTGTAAAGTAAAGGATTTGTACAAAATCGATGAATTTCAAGTTATTTTTAGCCATGGGTTTCGTTCTTAAAGTGAAATCTAATGTAAGAATGAAATACATGTTTATTATATAAAATCGGAGATTAACTGAGTGATGTGTGGATGGAGATGGGAGAGCCATTTCAGACCCACTATCCATCTTCCATTCCCACTGCATCATCAAATCACCTTAGAGGAAAAATCTCAACATCACTAGATCATAGGGATTGTCTCGTTTTCTCTAAAAATCTATGACTTAAGTAAAAAGACCTTTAAATTTAGAAAATTAAATTATTTATTGTATCCTTAATCTCCCCATTCAATGAATGAAATGGTTATAAAATATAATTTAATAATTCTATACATTGGGTGCATTATTATGTCCAAACTTTTTCCAAAGAAAATTGAGGCTCAAAAATATAAGCTTCCCCGAATCCTCCATCCAATGAGTTTGGAGTCAGTTAGAAATAAACTATATTTCTAAAACCTGGTTTCATTTCATCATATTCCATGAGAGGCAATAAATCAAGGACACAACAAAGGTTCTCTTGACCCTAAGTCTTTTTTTTTTAACAACCAATCACTGAAGGGTGAATTTCTAACACTAAAATTTTAAATTTCTGGCTTATAACATTGTCCCTTTGATAAAAATCAAATATCCCCAGAAAGATAATACATTGTTACCATCATTCATCATTCCTTATGGTGAATTAGTTAATAAGAGTACTTTTAAAAGTTAGTTTTGGGTGACCCTTACAGGGAAGTGAAATATCTGGATCCAGGAGATAGAGCAATGTAAGCACATGGAATATTACTGGAGTAATTTCCAGTTGTGCTTAAGAGCTTTGGCCTTGGGTCATACAGATATGTGTTTATTTTCCTCATAACATCATTTACTGAACAACTTTAGGAAAGTCCCTTAAACTTTCCAGATTGTATTATCTATAAAAAGGGGTAAATAATTGCACCCATTCCACTGGCTGTTTTAAGGATTAAAAATAGAAAAAGCACTAAGCATAATTCATATAGCATAAATTCATAGAGATTAAATACTTTAGTAACTATTAATACTATGGAGTCATAATGCAAGGAAGGAAAGAATGGAAGTTAGAGAAGAAAACAGAAATGCAAACCTAATTAACTCCAAGTCAGGAGACATGATAGGTAGCTCCATCAGCAGCTCTCTGAACCATTGGGTAGATAATTTTAACCTTTTTGCATCTCATTTGTAGAATGAAGGAGAAATCTAGTGAGTGGATATAATTTCTAAGTGTCCTTTCACTTCAAATGTTAAGTGATTTTCATGATTGTGTCCTACACTAGCCTTAACTAAGATACCTGGAAAGAACTTTTCTACACACTGAATTTCAGTGCCTAAGAAGTAACTTTCTCTGGAAGGTATTTTAATCTTAGAAGAGTTGACAGGCTAAGTGATAGGATATAGATCAAGGAGGTCTCTTAGAATCTAGATTGTTAAATATCACACTTATAAGTACAGTGAAGAAAATCAAGATTGTTATGGCTACACTTTTTAATTCTTATGTTAGCAAACTTCAAAAAACACTCGTAAGGAGAAAAACTTATTTTAGAAACATTTTGTAGTCCTGGAATCAGATAAGGCAATAATTTCTCACTTGGTCTAATTGGAGGAAGTAGTTGCAATAAAGCAAAAAGAAATGAAGAAGAAGAAGAAGAAGAAAAAAGAAAAACCCTTCCTGGAGGTTTCCACTGCCTTAAAATTACAGCACAATCTCATTAAGCAGTAATAGAAATGGAAATTAGTTGCTCTTGTAGTTCTGATTGTATTCCTGTTAGGTCATTTGCATACTGTTCAGTGATTGGATTACTGGTGAGGCTGAGAGGTCTCAGAATGCGTTCCTATGCATTTCATCTAATTGTACTGCTGTGACTATGAGGAGAAATCATTTCCTGAACTTAAATGATATGATCCTCATGGAAGCATACAAGCCTTCTTTAGATTTTAGATGAGTGTGAGAAGTGTAAACTCTTCTGATGTTGGCCCAAAGCTGCAAATTTTAAAAAGCTTCAAATATACTTTCCCATGTTATGTCATGGAATGTTAATAACTTTCTTAACATTTCCAAATGTAATGAGCCAGTACTTACTTTTACAATAATGGCTGGTATGGAATGAACTAAATGAAAATCAGAAATAGCAAAACAATTTCTGGTTAACACATACCACTTTTTTGTTCTCTGCTTTCTCTTCTTTTGTATAATTTGAGGATATAAAATAAGATCAGACATTGTTGTCACTTGGTGTTGATAGCTCAGTTCCATCTGTTAGCACTATCTTCAGGAGCACATCTGAGGAATTAGCTTTTTGAGAGACCCATACCTAAAAACCATTGAAATTCATAACATGAACATGGATATTGATTTTTAAATGAAGCACTAATGTCATTTGTTGGTTCTCCAGAATTGTCCAGCGTTAGCAGAATGCTCCAATGATAGGGGAAAAGAAATGCGTGTTTTCAAAATGTTCTAAGCAATTTTCCTTAGTTTAGGCTTATTGATGACATTTCCTCCTTTTGCCAATTCAATCTTATGCTGTTGTTTTTTTTTTAAGGAATTTTGAAACTTGGATAATTTGAATCATCATAATGTTAATAGAGACGTATGTAACATTGTATCTATCAATTTGAGACTGATAATTTATTGAGCTGTCAGAGGCCCAGCCTCTTAAGAAGTAGCACTGTACTAATACTTAGTTCTGAATTCTTAGGATGTAGGACAGTGCCAAGTACGAAATGAAAATTGAATAAAGATGTCCTAATAAATGTATTAAATAATGAAAATGAAGACATTATCACAAAATGAGACTAAACACCCTCATAAAAGACTTTTAACACTAAGTTAAGAACACAGTTAATTTAAAGGAAACTTAAATTTAGCACATAGTAAAAGAAGATGAGCCCTAAATTCAGTGACCCAGGTTTATGTCCCAGTTTAAACATATATTCTCAGAGTAATTTTAAAATAGTTAAATCTCTGATTCTCCACATCCTCATTAGTAAAAAAAAAAACAAAAACCAAAAAACAAAAAAAACACACATTGCCTGTAACTTACATGGTTCCTATAAAAATTAGACATGTTCTATAAAATTCTAGATAATTGGGCAATTAGTATGTTATTCCATATTCTTTCCATTGTTTTTATGTTATTAAAAAAGGTCTTTATTAGAAAAAAATAAAAAACTTAAAATGCACAGAGTTAAAAATTCAAGTTCACTTTTACCCGTAGCACTGTTTTCCTGCTGAGAAGAAACTACAGTTAGCAGTTTGATTTTTAAAATTTTATCCACTGACTGACAAAACATACATACATAAACAAACATGAAAATGGAATAGTAATTTTACTAAAGGAAAAGCTACACTGCTGTAATGAGGAGATCCCAAAATATACTGGGGGCCAAGGTACATGGTCACCTCTGGTACATTAGCTCTTTCATGACCAGTTTCCCTCCATCATGTTCCTCTATCATTCCCTCCACATTGTCCATATGTTTACAGGTAAGGCTGGCTCAGCTCTACGTAGTATTTGCAGAACACTAATAAGTGCAGAACACTTAACTCATTTAATATTAATAACCTATGAGAGTTTCCCCTCATTAATATTAACTCATCTTTCAGAAAAGAAAACTGGAATGTAAACAGGTTAAGTGCTTGCTCAAGTTTACATGCTAGTACTTGGCAGAAATTAGTATATATTAAATTATTCCTTCCGAAAGTACATTTATATTGGGTATATTTTTTTTCTGTTAGTATAAGCAACAAATGTTTCTCTTATTTTTTTTAGCAACAACATTTATTTTCCTTTTTTTTTTTAAGATTTTATTTATTTGACAGAGAAAGAGAGTGCACAAGCAGGGGGAGCAGCAGTGGGAGAGGGAGAAGCAGGCTCCCCACTGGGCAGGGAGCCGAATGCGGGCCTTGATCCTAGCACCCTGGGATCAAGACCTGAGCCAAAGGCAGATGCTTAACTGACTGAGCCACCCAAGCATCCACAACAACTATTTCTATTGGACACATTTCTAAAGGTAGAAGAGCTGAAAGAAAATAAGTACAGCTTTTAATTCTGCCAGAATCTGACCTCATTTTCCAAATAGCATCCTCCAAATTATACTCTAATGGGGTATGAGAATAGAAGTCTCCTGACATCCTCACTCACACTGGGTATTATAAATCTTAATACATACTAAAATAACTACCTGTGTTGCATTCTGTTGTCTTATATTGAACTATCCTATTTACTTCTGCAGATCAACATTTTTATGTACATTTGTGTATTTTCATTTTTTTTGGCCTATGACCCCTCCCACCTAATTATCTATCAAATTACCTTTCTTAAGAAAATGAGGATTAAAAAGTGTTACATAAAATTTCTGTCTGCCACAGGGTTAACTTTGTACATAGCAGATATTAAAAAATAAACTTGGGACGCCTGGGTGGCTCAGTTGGTTAAGCATCTGCCTTCCGCTCAGGTCCTGATCCCAAGGTCCTGGTACTGAGTCCCTTATGCCTTTATGGGTCTCCTTGCTCAGCAGGGAGCCTGCTTCTCCCTCTGCCTGCCCCTCCCCCTGCTTGTGTGCACTCTCTCTCTCACAAATAAATAAAATCTTAAAAAAAATAAAACTATAAATTTCTAAGAATCTATTTATATATATACAGAAACCAAGTAAAAGATAATGAGCATACCTTTTAAAGAAATGAAAATACTTAGTGACTTTATGCAGCTATCCCTCCTTTACCCCCTGATTTTTTAGTATGTTGGTAATATTTTTTCCAAATTATTACCTGTTTTTTTAAATTTCTCTGTCGTCATCAGAAATTCATAATTGTTTAATATTTTGAAACTTATTCTTTTCTGTTCATTGACTTAAGAACTTTGATCTTACGTAAACTTTTCCATTTCATACATTTTTATACCTTTCATAATTATATTATTTAATATTTTGTCATGTTCTTTATCTGAGTTTATATAGTCTTATGTGCTCTTCTAGTTCAGTTACACCTTTTTATAATTAAATTCTTTAGTCAGTCTGTAACAGGATTTCTTTCTCTTTCTCTGTACTTTCTGGACTCTGTATTCTTTTTTTTTCCTTGTTTCATTAACAGACATTTTTTTCATTAAATTAATTTATTTAGACATTTTTTTTATTTTCTAAGTTTGAATATAGTTGACACACACTGTTACATTAGCTTCACATGTACAACTTAGTGATTTGACAAATTTATTCTTTATGCTATGTTCTCCACAAGTTTAGCTACTGTTTTTATTCCATTACATTGCTAATACAGTATCACTGACTGTGTTCCTTATGTTCTGCTTTTTATTCTCATGACTTATGTATGGGAATAAAGTTGAGGTCTGTATCTCCCTCTCTGCTTTACGTATTTTATCCAAACCCCCGCTCCTTCCTTTCTGGCAAACATCAGTTCTCTGTTTTATAGTTCTGATTCTGCTTTTCTTTTTTTTTCTTTTTTTGGATTCCATTTATGAGTGGACTCATAAGGCATTTGTCTTTCTCTGACTTATTTTACTTAACACAATACTGTTTAGGTCCATCCACGTTGTCTCAGATTGCACAATCTCATCCTTTTTTATGGCTGCGTAATATTCCTCTGTGTGTGTGTGTGTGTGTGTGTGTGTGTGTGTGTGTATAAATCTTCTTTATCCATTCATATATCAGTGGACACTTGGGTTGCTTCCATATCTTGGCTATTTTGAATAATGCTGCAATAAACATAAGGGCGCATATCTCTTTTTGAATTAGTGTTTTTGTATTCTTTGGGTAAATACCCAGTAGTGGAGTTACTGGATCGGATGGCATTTCTATTTTTTAAATTTTTGAGGAGACTCCATTCTGTTTTCTATAGCGGCTGCACCATTTTACATTCCCACCAATAAATGCATGTGAGTTCCTTTTTCTGTACATCCTTGCCAACACTTGTTATTTCTTGTCTTTCTCATTTTAGTCATTTTGACAGTTGTAAGGTGATATCTCATTGTGGTTTTGATTTGCATTTTCCTTATGATTAGTGATGTTGAACATCTCTTCATGTGTCTGTTTGCTATCTGTATATCTTTGGAAAATTGTCTTTTCAGGTCCTCTGCCTACTTTTTTAATTGTTGTTTTTGGGGGTTTTTTTTTGGTGTTGAGTTGTCTAAGTTCTGTATATATTTTGAATATTAACCCCTTATCAGATTTACCATTTGGGAATATCATTTCCCATTCAGTAAGTTGCCTTTTCATTTTATTGATGGTTTCCTTCACTTGCAAAAAAGTCTGGGCTTTTGAGCTCTACCACTTTTATGCACTCATGGTATTTTCATTTTAAGGGAGATGCAATGTAACATATAATGATTAGCCTAATATGAAGCATCCAGTAGGTTCATATTATTTTTTTCTTGACTGCAGTGAATAGAGATTTTAAGGATATAGCTCTTAGGCAGTGTTACCGAGACAGCATTAATTAATGAGAAGAGAGAAGATACAGAAAATATATTAGGATAAAATTCTTGAGAAATTGTGATGAGATTGGTTTAAATACCTCTAAAGGAATGGGGGATAGAGGGAATAACAAAAGGAAAGATTTCTATTTAATATAACAAGTTTTGGGGCGCCTGGGTGGCTCAGTCGGTTAAGCGTCTACCTTTGGCTCAGGTCATGATCCCAGAGTCCCAGGATCCAGCCCCATGTCTGGTTCCCTGCTAAGTGGGGAGTCTCACCCCTCTCTTACTCTCAAATAAATAAAATCTTTAAAAAAAATAATATAAGCTTTCCTAGAGCTCATCCTAGAAGCAGAGGCAAACACCAAAACATATTTTGTTTTAATTAAAATTCAGTACACAGATTAGCCTATGTAGTATATTTGCATTTTTATGTATGGACGTTATTGTTTATAATCATGATTTTGTCTTCCCAATCTCTCTCAAGCTGTTTTTGATATTTAGTAAAGACTTTAGTCTAATGGCTATATATATGTTTTGTACATATTGTTCAACCATAAACTCCTTTTAGAACATGGTATGTATTTATAAATTTAAGAAATTTGTTTTTTTAAGTAAACTATTTCATGTTATTTTCAAATAATGCGAAGTATAATTATATTCTAGATTTGACGTGATAATTACACAGCAATCTTCTCTGCATCCTGTGATTCCCCCCCACTCCAAAATAATTATCCTATATTTTCTAGTCCTATACATCTTGGTGTAATTTGGGTTATATCAACCGTCTGATTTAAATTTCTGTTGGATTTATATATTCATGAATTTTTGTTTGTATCAAAATTTCACCCATATTGATCATTTCATATATGTGGCTTTTCTTA